TTACGACACCGAAGCAGCACACAGCCGCGCGTGGTTTAAGTGCACATTTGACCCGTGCGTTTGCACTGAAAATGCAGATAATGTGGCAATAAATCGATGTACCATAAAGATAATCACGGTGATTTGTTTCCGGGATGAGCGCGTACCACACTCGTAACTGCTAACGAAAGCTCTTCTCCTCCCCGAATACGTCAAGTTACATTTACGTCATTTACCGCGTATTTTGCTGCTCCCGTTATCTCTGGTCTGTAAAAGTCTTTTTGTGATAATGATGTCTAGAAGCCGATGGCTCGGTTATCTAAAATAATTTCAACACGCTCTCGCGCATAGAATTGAGTATAAGACTTGCCACGAAAATAACGGACTGTAATGTCCTACAGGTTCTAACGTTCTGATAATAAAAATTGTATTCAAGATAGGTATGCATTATCAGATGGAAATTACTAATCGATGTCGCGTAATTCATATATGTGTATATCACGTTGTCTTATAGAATATTTTTGCACGCAGTATACACCAAATAAGAAAATTAAATCGCTCGTAATGAGTTCTATCCCGTAAATAATTACTATTCTAATAAATATTCTAGCAAATGTTTCGTCTTCGCATTTTAAAGATATCGACGAGATGCGAAGCGAGTTCTTCTTTCTGAGAGATTATGATAGATTCGGAGTGGTTTAGCAGCCAAATTTATCGTACTCGCCATCGTTTAGCTGTTCTTTTTACGATCTCGCGAATTCATCGCGCATTCACCTACCGAATGGTCAGCATCAATTTCCAATCATCAACGAACGAGCGGTAACATCCGGTCCTTTGCATACGCGACAGGGAAAATAATTTCTTGCTTCAGGGAAACGCGCGAGCGCGGTTTATTTTCCGCGGAACTTTTCTCCACACCTGCCAGACATTCTTCTTCGATCGAAAGCGTACGCCACTTGTTTGACTAATGGCTCGTCAAAACGACGCAATACGAGACGGCTCTCGCGTTTCTGTACCGAAATACCGGGGCCAAACAAAGCAAAAGGCGAAATCTAGATGTACACATGATAACGTAAACAGCTTTATCGACGTTTAAACAAATTACACCGAAGCTGCGTCCCGCAGGCTCGTAAATCAAGTCCTGAATTCTCCCGCATTTAACGATCTTGCCGAGCGAAATATTTTTCTCGGACGAAAAAAGACACGCAAATTCGCGATAAGATTGCACGCCCTTCATTTCAATTCATAAGTTGTACGGTCGACCTACTTAGCATAACTTTTCGCGATGCCTCGATTTCTACAAATGTAAATTGTGTCGTTTCATTTTTATGGCATTGGTTTTTAATCATTCTTGTCACCAATGATATTTCACGGTCGGTTATTCGCGATAATTAATTAACTCGATACTTTTGATGAATCAACACACTATTAAACAGAACAGTTCGCAGGGAAAAATGCGACTGTAACGCGATGCACTTTTCGATAAAAATATTGAATGATAAATAAACTATGAGGAAAAGTGCAACTTCATAATGATATAAATGTCAAATGCAGTTATATGCAAAAAAGATATTAAATTCATAACGTTAAAATATCAGAAAATGTGCAAATATATAAAATAAAAAGAATATTTGTTTTTTTTATATCGTTATAATTTGTATCTAAAATATTTAGAGTTTTCAATGTACTAAATTCTTTATTAAAAACGAACAATTTGTTAACAATTTCATTATCTTGAAAAGAGATTAACAGGTTAAAAGCGCTCTAGTGCATCCAAATTCATATCACTTATTTAAACGATGATATCGCGATCTCCGCAGCGCAATAAGTAAAGAATGCGATTCGCTTTTAAACTGCAATTAGATATGATTGTTTTTTTTACACGGCATATCAATTCATACTTCCTAGTTATATCTGGCGTAAATACAGATAAAGGCTGGATAGACCTCGCGAGGAAGTGCAAGGTTGTTTCTGATCAGTTTCGGCGATTTCAACTTTTTTTTTCGCGTTACGAAACTATAATCGTTTCACATACATGCACAGTTCAAATGCAATGCGCTTGGCGGTGAATACCCGTAATGAAGCCTATTTTGATACGTTATCGTAAGGCATTTACTGTAATGAGGCTTATTACCGCTAAACGCACTCCGTTTTGCGTGCGGATGATGTCAGAAACATAAACGGTAAATTTTTTTTTAATGACGATATATTTATAGAGACCGTTTATCGAGACGGTGCATGCGTTTACGCAATACATACTGCATAAGAGAGTAGAATGCATAGACGATAAGTGGCGATCAGTTAATACGACAGCCGCGGCAGATCGCTCGTAATAATAAAAGCAGCTGTATCCCGACATTTGCATAAGAGCCGGAGCATAGATATGTGCAGTATGCACCTGTGGCGTTTTTTTTACCGGCTCCTCAGTACTGCATGTAATCAAATGCAATCAGAGCCAATTGCATCCCACGCTCACGACGGTTTTCACGCCCAAAGCGATTTTTACCCAAATTGCTTCCATCCGCAGTATAAATATGTGGAGAACGTTATACAAAGCTATTTTTCAGTTACGGACCCACTCGGACGAGATCTGTTCCACAAATATTTTCCTTTAATAGAAACAATTATTGGAGAGATATCGCCAATTATTGAAGTGTAAATAATTAACAGTAATAAAAAGCCGTCGCAAATGAACCTTTGATTTATCCCTGATTCAATTTATACAGTGAACTATATTTTAACGGAACGTCGAAGACGCAACTATCGAGAATATCTCATGTTAAAAATAAAACAAGTTTCACGTTAAAGGAATAAGTTCGTATACAGAGCGCTACGACGCCAGGCGCCACGTCTCTTGGCGAGAAGCCAATATTATGGATTTCGGGACAAATACCCCGAAATGAGTCTCAATCTTCCCTTTTACATTGATCAACCAAGAGATCGTATTTGTGATTCATTATATGTTAGGTTTGTTTTCTGGAATTATTAAAAACGTGGACTCCCTAAAAAACTCGAAATAATAAAAAATGATATATGTAAAACAAGTCTTTTGCCAAAACAAATTTGAGAACAAAATTTTGAAATTGAAACGAACGCGGAAAATTTATGAAAAATTATTTTGTAACTCAATTATATGTATCTAATTACATATCTCTTTCAGCAATTTTTTATCAAATTATCTATTTCGCGGTAATTTTTATTAAAAAATATTTATAAAAAGTAAACTTATTCTTTCAAGCTTCGGACAAATGGAAGGTAGTAACACCGATTGAATTGATTCAATCGATCCTAATTTACAAGTTTAAAACGTCGTGCGTAGAAAAGTCATTGAAAATTGGATTTGTAACTCCTGTCGTTTGCAATTCTCGAAGAAAATTTTCGACAAGTTGAGTTAAGGAGCTACTGAACTGAAGTTCTCGATCAAGATTATATCTAGCCAAGTTTCAAAGTACATTTTATGTATAAAATGTATGAAAAGTTTTGTGAGTGAATTGCTCTAGGATTCTTAAAGTATGGTTCTCTTCGCAATCTTTGAGATTTCTAATTAAATACTTTGGATAGACCATCAAAAAGAGGTCAAACTAACGAGGATTAAAAAACGAGGATGTTAGGGTTTACTAATTATCTATAAAGTATACATATGAGAGCATAATAAAAAAATATTCGCTGTATAATATATGTTTCAACTTTACTTAGTCTTCATCAGCCGCATTCAACATATTTATTATAGATTAAGTGACAATCATCTTGTAGACATAAAGTAAAAAGAAATTAAAAAAAAAACAAGTCAAGAAGTTAAAACCAAAAATATAAAACATATATAAGAGATACATTATTCCTTGTCAAAGAAACAGTGAAATTCCAACTGAGTGATAAATTAGACTTTCCGTTTGTAAATATTAAGATATGTTAGTTTGTTCATATAAAAATTAAAGTTCATGTAAAAAGTTAAAAGTATAAAAAGTATTGTATGAAAAAAGTGTGACTGTCCATGGTATTTAATGATCAAAAAAATTTTTTCTACTGTAATTGTTAGAAATCAATCTTCTTACAGAAACAAAAAAACACAAAGTTGTCGTTATAAAATTCAACAAGCGACATGAATAAACGTGTTTTATACAAAAACAAAAAAAAATGTTCAAAAAAGAAATATTTAAAACAAAATAAAAACTGAAGACTTCTGGAAAAAATTTTCTTGATCTTTAAACGTTTCGTAATCGTTTTTACAATTTTATCAAAAAGTGATAAAATGACATAAAGCGCCACATGTTAAATGACATAATATGCAAGTAATTGTTATTGCGCAATGCAATGTCCTTCGCTTTTCTTTAGTCTATTATTAAAAAAGATAAAGAATAACACAACATAACATAATACACGTGGCAAGGTGAATGATAAGAGTGAGTTGGGAACGAAATTACTTCAATGTTGGGTATGTGACAATTATTTTTGACTTTCAAATAAAATTTTAATAAAATTTATTTATATCCACGCTCACTTCCGTGATAAAATTACTAAAGAAATACGCGTACAAAGCAATGTTTTGTCACCTTCGCTCATTAATACTCAGAAGCAATCAATTAGAAATATTTTTATTATTAAATATTTTTATATTTCTTATATTTTTATAAAATCACGATTACTATGAAGATTTGATGAGCAAAATTAAAAGTTCTAATTAAAAGGAGACAGATCAAAACAGACGTGCCTTCACATAGAAATATAGATTTGAGAAAAAGATAAAAAATCTCAAGTCTATTTTAGCCCATCGTCATATGAACAATTAATTTTCAATCTTTTGTCGCAAAGTTTCGTGAAACTGCTTTACACAATTTGAAATTTGTAGGAAATTGTTAAGAAATTGTATTTCAAAACACACATACTTTTGTATAAAGTGTGCAAATGTGCAAGAAAAAGAAGAAAATTGCGCTATATATATCAACCCAAGCGATAGGCTAGTAATTATTTTAATTATTTTAATTATCGGCGCTTCCTTATAAAAGCGCCGCGAAAACGACATGGGTTTCATTGTACAATACGTGCTTACGCTGTCAGTAACATTATAATTTCTGACGAGAAATATGGGGTGTAAGATTTTACCTCTGTTAATCTTGGCATTCGCCGTGGTCTTTGTCAAGGCCCATGGTAAGTTCAAGACAAAGTATTACAAATAATCATTATGTGTAACACTCATCGAGAATTTACTCTCGCAAATCTGTTATACCGTACAAATTTATTCAAACAAGGCAATTATAATAACTAAAATAATAGTTACTAAGACGTTATTGCGAGAGATATCTTACCATATATTTAATTGCGAATAAAAACCATAATATAAGTTGTCTTATTTTGTATCTTCTTTTGTGTTCAGTTTAAGTTGCACGGAAAAATTTATTTGAAATTAGAAAATACAAGCTTACATTCGCGTCAAATATTACATAACATAATAACTTACGTCAATTATTCTTATTCATCTCATAAAAGAAAAATTTTTAGTAAAAAATAATTTTTTTAATAAAATATATTTTTTAGTATGTAAGAAACTTTGCAAATCTGTCTCGTTCAGGAATTCCACGTACTATACAAGATTATCATCAATGATATAATTTTAAATAACTTCAAATCGCGATGATATACGATTGATGTGGATTTAACATCTTTTCAGATCAACAAAGAACTATACAGATTGGCATAAATATGGCGACAAAGATCATGGAAGGAATCGTGAAATGTATACACAAAGATTTTGGAATAATACCAAAAATATTCAACTCTTTTAAAGACGCATTCAAATTATTAATAGGAAAACTTCCTCTCAAAATCATCGAAGCCATACAAAGTGTTAAGAAACAATTCTATGAGTATATAGTAGGTGGGGTAAAGACACTGGTATACCATATGTTCAAAATCTCATTGGAAGTACTAATAATCTTATTAAAAATAATGATAGCTATAATGTCCGGTAAAACTAAAATCTGTAATGGAGGCAGTGATAAAATTATTGAAGAATTTGAGAAACTAGTACATATTCTAGAACCTCTGTTAAGCGGTATAGGTGGTGCAGTAGGCGGTGGTAGTTCAGGCGGTAGTGGTTCAGGCGGTAGTGGTTCAAGCAGTGGTGGTTCAGGAGGTGGTGGTTCAGGTGGTATAGGAAGCGGTATCGGTATACCTGGTATAAAGATACCTGGATATTAAGTCCAAGTCTTAAGATAATTTATACTTGGCGAATTATATAACAAAAATGGCAAGAATTCATGAACTACGATGCGTACATAAGTACTAATAACAACAAAATTCATTTAATCGATGAATGAATACGTTATCTATTATTATGCACTTATATTTATTTTAAGTATCTGTATAAACATAAAAATTAATCATAATAATGCAAACTATTTAAAAACTGTATAAAAAATATCTAATATATGTGTACACATAAATATAAATATATGAATAATATGCAAAATATATTTCTTGGAATATTATTATTTGGAATAATGCGGATGTGTGTGTGGCGAATGTATTGTTCAAAGAGATTATACGTTCATTGTAAAAATTTTAGAAATCGTATATATTATAAATATAACAGCGACAAATTATTTGGAACCAATAATTACACGAGAATTCGGCAGTAGTGGCGCAACTTTTTAGTCAGACATTCATCTGACTGCGTACAGGCAGTAGATAAACCTCTGCGGCCAGACACAAGAGATAAGCCTTTGTGGTCAGACAAGCAAAAGCTCCCTGTCTTATCGAAGGATTCATAGAATTTGGCCAAAAGAGGGTTACACAAGGATAGTTAGGTCAGGTAAGTATGTTACTCAATAGAGGCATCACACATAATTCCATGAAAATTGAGTTTACCTAAGATGATCATTCAAATATCATATATTATCACTCAAAATTACTAGTTTTCTTCTACGACAGAATGCGCATTTCATCTAATTACGCTTGCATTTTTATCTAACAATTGTGCATTATTACGGATCATAATTATGAGTATTATTATAAGTATTATTTAAAAGTAATCCATGGCTACGTTTGTTGCATCATTCAATCGTTATTAATGTTATTATACATTGTGTATAAACATTTGTTTCTTAAAAATCGAGAATAGCATATGAATGTATACGAGACGCACTTGCATTTTTATTTGAATAAATGTATATCCATTCAAGCAAAATAATGCGATTTCTTGCAATTCATCCCGGCTAACGCATCACAATTTATTCATCATCTCGTAGTTTGTAATTATCGCCACAATCTATCCTAAAGTGGCATTTGGCAAGTTGACAATTATAACACGCATCCTCGTACATATATAAGCACAGACAATAAATCATTGCCCCCTGAGAAATGTGCGAACAGTAAATGCAATAATATGAAAACAGATGAATGCGGAATCAAGAGTTCCGTGCACTACTGCTAGTGACGTCAGCTGAGCAAGAGCAGCCAGAAACTAATGTCTTAATCCTGCGTTTGCGAGAAAATGTATCCCCATAACGCGTGCATCTCTTTAAAAAGTCTCGTTGGGATTTTACATGCATTAAAATTTACGAAATTGATATAAGATTACAAAATAGCAACTTTTTTCACGAGTTGAATACGACTAAGCCTCGCAGGTTCGATCAGGCTAAAAGATCTTCGATTGGACTGTCAACAAGTGCATCCCAGAAACATTACGGACGCGAGACAAGGTTGAGATAAATTGATGAGCTCAATTGGATCATAATAATAAAAGTAGTTGCATCCCGACATTTGCGTAAGAGCCGGAGCATAAATATGTTCAGTATGCACCTATTTTGCGTTTTTTTTTATCACCTCAGTACTGTATTCCTCAGTACAGAAATCAAATGCAATCAGAGTCAATTGCATCCCACGTTTACGGTGGTTTTCACGCTCAAAGCGATTTTTACCCAAATTGCTTCCATCTGCAGTACAAATATATGGAGAACGTTATATAAAACTATTTTTCAGTTACGGATCCACTCAGACGGGATCTGTTCCACAAATATTTTTCTTTAATAGAAACAATTGTTATTGAAGAGATATCGCCAATTATTAAAGTGTAAATAATTAACAGTAATAAAAAGCCCGTCGCGAATAAACCTTTGATCTATCCCGAAGGGTCAACCCCTATGGCAATCAGTGTACATTTCTTTAGAAATATATTGCTAGTGTTTTGGCAGTATAATACTATATGCTATCAATACATAGTCATGCATAGCAATACATTAGCAATACTTGGCAATATTGTGCACAATAGGTAGCAATACATGAGGTAATAGATGGCAGTACATAAGATAATAGATGGCAATATTACTAACAATAGCAATACAATAACAATGCTAGCAATAAAGTGTGTTGTATCGCCATAATTAGCAATCACTGTACATTTTTTATAGTAGTGGTTGACCCCTCGGTTTACCCCTGATTCAATTTATAATATAGTGAACTATATTTTAACGGAGCGTCGAAGGTGCTGCTATCGAGAATTTCATGTTAAAAATAAACAAATTTCACGTTAAAGGAATAAGTTCGTATACAGAGCGCTACGGCGCCAGGCGCCACGTTTCCTGGCGAGAAGCCAATATTATGGATTTCCGGACAAATACCCCGAAAGGTTTCTCAATCTCCCCTTTTGCGTTCATCAACCAAGATATATTTGATTCACTATATGTTTAACTTGTTTCCAGGAATTATCAAAAACGTGAACTCTCTACAAACTCGAAATAATCGAAAATGACATATGTAAAACAAGTCTTTTACCAGAACAAATTCGTGAGAACAAGATTTTGAAAATAAAACAAACGCGTAAACGCGGAAAATTTATAAAAAATTATTTTGTACCCCAATTATATGTACCTAATTACAATATATGTCTCTTTCTGCAATTTTTTATTTAACGTTTTCTATTTCACAATAATTTTTATTAAAAAAATATTTATAAAAACGAACTTATTCTTTCAAGCTTTAAACGAACGGAAGGTAGTAACGTCAATGAGAAAAATAAATTCATTCGGTCGATTCAAATTTCCGAATTTAAAACATCGTGCGTAGAAGAATTGTTGAAAATTATAAATTTATTCCTATCGTTTGGCTCCTATCGTTTTTCGAAGCAAATTTTCGAAAAGTTGAGTTAAGGAGCTAATGAACTAAAATTCTCGATCAAGATTATATCTATGTAGTCAAGTTTCAAAATATATTTTATGTGTAAATGGAAAGTTTTGTGAGTGGATTGCTCTAGGATTCTTATAGCAATTTCGTCTGAAATGCATCGATTGCATATTTCGGGTGTTGTGTGTTCGGCTGGTCGATTGATGCAATCCCTCGCCAGTGCCGCGTGTTCGTTTGGACTCAGTATGCCGCACAGGTGCATATTGGGTATACACAAAATGGCTCTCACAAATTAGGTGGTCGGGACCAATTGGGGTAATTACACAGTACCCATTTGCACCAGCTCTACACTGTGCGCTAGTGGCACATTGGTGCAGATTGGTTTAGATCAGGCCAAAATCGCTATTAAAGTCAAGTATGATCCTCTTCACAATCTTTAAAATTTCTAATTAAATGTTTTGGATAGACCATCAAAAAAAAAAGACCAAACTAACAAGCATTAAAAAACGAGGATGTTAGCGTATATTAATTATCTATAAAGTATACATATGAGAGCATAATAAAAAGAGTTAATATTCGCGGCACATGTTTCACTTACAATTAGTCTTCATCAGCCGCATTCGACATATTTATTATAGATTAATTGACGATCAGTCTTGTAGACATAAAATAAAAAAATAACAAAAAAAAACAAGTCAAGAAGTTAAAACCAAAGATATAAAGCATATAAGAGATACATTATTCCTTGTCAAAGTAACACTGAAAGTCCAACTGAGTGATAAGTCCGTTCGTAAAGATCAAGATTAGTTGTTAGTTTGTTCATATAAAAATTAAAGTTTATGTAAAAAGTTAAAAGTATAAAAAGTGTAATTGTCCATGATATCTAATGGTCAAAAAAATTTGTTCTACTGTAATTGTCAGAAGTCTTCTTACAGAAGTAGAAGAACACGAAGCTGTCATTATTAAAGTTCAATGAAACAGATAGATCATGTTTTATACAAAAACCAAAAAATAATGTTTAAAAAGAAATATTCAAAAACGAAATAGAACTGAAACTTCTGGAACAAATTTTCTTTATCTTTGTACAATTTTCGTAATCGTTTCTACAATTTTATCAAAAAATGATAAAATGATATAATGTGGCACGTGCAAAATGACATAGTATGCAAATAATTGTTCTTTCGCAATATAACGTTCTACGCTTTTCTTTCACCTGTCATTAACAAAGATAAAAAGTTACACAATGTAACATAATACACGCATGATAAGAATGAGTCAGAAACGAAATTACTTCAAGGTTGTGCATGTGACAATTATTTTTGACATTCCTTGACTTTCAAATAAAATTTTAATAAAATTTATTTATATTCATAACACGCTCACTTCTGTAATAAAATTACTAAAAAAAAAATACGCATACAAAGCAATGTTTCAGAAGCAATCAATTAGAAATATAAAAATATTTCTTATATTTTTATGAAATCATTAATAATCACGATTATGAACGGTTATACATAAAGATTTGAGGAGCAAAATTAAAAGGTCTAATTAAAAGGAAAAATAAATCAAACGCATGCCTTGACATAAAAATATAGATCTGAAAAAACAATAAAAAAATCTTAAGTCTATTTTGATCCATCGTTATCTGAACAATTAATTAATTTAGCATCATAATCTGAACAATTAATTTTCAATTTTTGTCGCAAAGTTTCGTAAAACCGCTTTACAGAATTTGAAATTTGTAGGAAATTATTACGAAATTGTATTTCGAAACACACATACTTTTGTATATAGTGTGTAAATGTGCGAGAACAAAGAAACGTCACATATACCAACCAAGCGACACAGGCTAGTAATTATTTTGATCATTTTAATTATTGGCGTTCCCTTATAAAAACGTCGCGAAAACGATAAGAGTCTCAAAGCGCAATACGTCTTTACGCTGTCAGTAACACTCGTCAGAAACATGGGTTGTAAGATTTTACCTCTGTTGATCTTGGCATTCGCCGTGGTCTATGTCCAGGCTCATGGTAAGTTCAGGACGAAATATTACAAATAATTATTATGTGTAACACTCATCGAGAATTTTCTCCCGCAAATCTGTTATACCGTACAAATTGATCCGAACAAGGCAATTGTAATAACTAAAATAATAATATATTTACTGAGACGTTATTGTGAGATGTATCTATCTTATCACATACTTAATTTCGAATAAAAATTGTAATATAAATTGTCTTGTTTTGTGCATCTTGCTCAGTTTAAGTTGCACGGAAAAATTTATTTGAAATTAGAA